TAGGTGCTACAAATTAAGAACCAAAGATGATGACAAGGGCTAGAACTCAAGAGCAACTGTGGTGCTTCTGCAATATCCCTCAGAGACCGCGCATTCCCACAGAACATGACAATAAAAACGCGTAAGCGTCGTAAGCGCCTAAGCTTCCCACTCGTTAGTTTGAAGTATTTCTATAGCATTAGAGCCGGATTCGAGCCGGATCGCAGAAATGCACACGCGATTTTAATTTATTGCGTTTCCTTAGTTTTTTCAATTTTGTTTTATTTACATCTACATTCGTTGTTGTTCATTTCTAGCCTTTGTCATCTTCATCACCTTCTATTCGGACTTTGAAGCATGAGCAATACCTCAAATGTTAGGAAATTGCGTTTTGCTTGTATTGTCATGTTTTATTGTGTTGTCCGTTTTTATTGTCATGTTCTGTGGGAATGCGCGGCCTCTGAGGGATATTGCAGAAGCACCACAGTTGCTCTTGAGTTCTAGCCCTTGTCATCATCTTCGGTTCTTATTTTGCAGCACCTAAAATGTTATCCGCATAAAGAAATTGCGTTGTACTTGTATTCCAAAGCGCAATTACAGGACTTGGCAAAAAGCCAAGAGAGCTGCACGCGACCGCGCCGCGCGGATGGTGTTAGCATAAACGTGAGGGCGGTGTAGCAAGGAATTACGACTTTCCCACGGCCCCGTACTCTGACCCCGTGCAGTTTTGGGCGGGGGACCACGACACATCGACAGCTGGGGGCTGATAGTCTCATACACCCTCAATGTGTTTGAGCGTACCATGTGTCTTTAAATAGCTCCCTGCAAGGTTATTCTCGCCGGATTAACTTTCTAGTGAATACAGGAAAAGCTTATGCTACATCTCTTCCAGGTGGATGTTGACGGGTCGCCATATATCAAGTTCAGGTATCGTGATGGTGATAATCCTGCACTAATTGATAGGGTTACGGTAGAGGGAGATTGTGTCCTGCAACGATTTGTGCACAAAGTGTGATACTGTTGTGTTGGATTTACTTACAAACCATTAACTTTGTGCTTATTTTGTTCTCAAAATTCCCCGGTCTATACTGTTGCCAAAGAAAAGATGGGAAAAAAAGTGTGAGCTTACTCTGTTTCTACTAGGGTCATGTATGCTTGCTATACTCGCTTATGAACTATTTTGCTTGCTATTTGTTTCCCTGTTTGTTCTTCTTTATGAATTTTCCGGTCTATGGAAATGGCCAAAAGCGGGTGTAAAATGGTTTAGTTGTATGTTTATCCACTTTTCGTCCGCTTATTCTTCCCACAGTAAATAGCCCCTATCGTCGCTTCCAATTCGCTTAAAACAATGTGATAATGTCTGAGTTCACGAGTTCTTGTCCTCTGGTTCCGTATTTATGTGGCTTTTTTTGAACTGATAGTAAAAATTGTGCTAAAAATATGTGTATGTGCAATCGAGGAACATTTCGTGGTTATCTAACTTTCTCCCATGAATGCTATTTGTGGCTCATTTCGATATAGTAGTTTGACATATTTTTGGGTTTTTTGTTAGCTATTAACATTTCGTATTTGTCTCCAATAAAGATTTTATCAGCCGATATGACATTTGTGACGTTCTGGGCAAGTTCTAGCGACTGCGGGCGGAGGCGGGATCAAAAGGCCCTCAAGATCATGTGCATGGTAACTACGGCCATGTGCGAAGTGACGTGCAGATCTTTCGTAGAATTTCGGGTGACGACACACCAAACAACACTGGGGAACTTTCACGCCGGCAGCAAAAATCATGACAGTTTGACGATGGGATTCAGTATAATAATACACGTCATATCGCGGCGATGGAGAGTGCGTGGCTACTTCCAACATGACGTTCTAGTCATGTATGTAGCCACGCCCTCTCCATCGCCGGGATACGCGATCGTAAGACGCTTTGTTTGCGGAGTGGTTCCATCAGAGGAACGGCTGTCATTCCGTCCTGTGCTTCACAAAGACACGGTAACAATTGTCCCGAAACAGCAATATCTCATCAAAAGCGCCGCCGGTTGAGTTATTAGTTACTCCGGAGATGGAGGGTGTGTAGCCACGCCCACTCTATCCCCGGAATATGTAGTGTAATACTTTCAGCGTTCCGGTTTTGCCCTATAAGAATAGGCTTATTTTTTCATCTTTCTTTTGCCAGGCCACGCATGACCCCCTTTTCCCTCCAGTGCCAAGATGCGACATCGCTTGGGCGCTTCAAGCGATGGTTTAAAGGCACATTCCGCGATAAAATAAGGCTATGACCTCTCAAATGTGTCGGACGATCCGGAAGGCGATTTTTGAGGCTGCGCTACTTTCAAAATGTGAAAAACGGCAAGAACTCCGCTAGAAGCTGACTAATTAGGCCCATGGACACCCCTTAGGCCCATGCCGACCCTCACCGGCTGCTAGCTACTAGCTAGTAGCCACTATGTTATCTTTCTCTATAACATTTCGGACTGCTTTTTCTGCTGCTTTTCTCCGCTAATCAGATACTTAGCACTTTTTTGTGCCTATTTGAGTTCCGTTTCCCGCAATTTGCGGTCGCGAACTGTGCCTTAAAAGAGCCTTCTGAGAAGTAGTGATCTCCGTGAAACAAAAGGCAGCAGACCGTATCGTGGGGGGGGGGGGGTGGGTGTCGAGAGCCCACCCCCCCCCCACGATAAAGACCACCCTGACCAGTTGATTTTCTCAGTTGTACGGGCACAGAAGGAGAGGAATTCGAGGGGAGGAAGGATGAGGGAGAAGCCATGCTGAAGGCGAGGAGGTGCCACCTCTGAAGAGATCTGGTTCCAACCAGATCTCTTCAGAATTCACTTCTGAGTGCGACCCCCTTCCCCATATTACCTAACGTCTTCCCCAGTTCCTACCAATTTTCCATTCCAGTCAGAAATCCTTTCAGACTTTCCCGAGAAACTCGGGTTGACCCGGAAGGGAGAAAGCTGTGAAACCGGCAACTGGCAAGCGCGCCTTTCATTTTTTTCTAGTCACTCAAAAACATGCCTTTCTACATCTACAGAGTCCCGGTTTGCCCTGCGTCATTTGAATTTGTATTTTGGTTTTGTTATTCTCTTTGAACGCTACCGTATGATAGAAATCATACGGTAGCGTTCAAAGAGTGGTTCACAGTGTGTTCATTCTTCTTCTGTATTTATCAGCTCATTGAAACCAAGCTGTTCTTCTTGAATAATTCAAAACAAGTTTTTGGAAAATATTGCTTTAGATACATCAAACCTAAGTCCACATTTATGACGTCAATACAGTACAGAATATAAAAAAACTGAAAAGAAGAAACGTGGACCTCCCGCAATATGAATAAGTCCCTAAGACTTAATTGTGAGTAGAAAGAACAGAGCTGATATGTATGATAGAGAGCTGAGAATCCAGATATGAGATGCATTTCAAAAGACAACGTTCGTATTTACATAGTAATGTTAGAGATCATCTGATTTCATACTGACTATCTAAGCACCTAGAGGCAGACTTTCGGGTCGTATCTGCGTGCTATGTGACCGTGATTCCGATTTCAAGACGTGAGAAGGGTGAACAGTCTTGATGCAAGCGGTTGTAGCTTCCTTGTTAATCGGCACTGGCAAGCGATTGGAATCTGAAATGGATAGACAATAAAGGCGGAACTTAGACTTTTTTCTTTTCATAGACTTTTTTCGGCACGTGCAGTCTATGTCCCGGAGGTGGAGAGGGCGTGGCTGCGCGCTTCATTCCAACGTGGCGGCGGCTACGCTTTTTTGTGGGGTATTGCATTTCTGGGACAACTGTAACCGAAGTAAAGTAAGCGAGCGCGTGCGGGAAAGGGAGCGTACATTGAATGATAGGGAATTTGGGGGCCTAATGACGATACCATCTGACTCTTTGCAGCTTATTTTAGAGACTTTCAAGGAGGGATTGATTTTCGTGGCGTTAAGAGAAGGTGGTGGGGGGGGGGGGGTGGGCTGAAAACAGCGCATACTGTGGACGCAGTGAATCACTTGATGGGCACTATGGACGTCCTTATCGGAAACTTATCTAATCTTCCTACACTAGTTATTCCTGCAAGAGGTCGTGGGCGGACGCGTGGCTTGGAGCACAGCCGGAGCGGCCTTTTCCACCATGTGATTCCATCCTCAGCTCTTGGAACTTTCCACAATTAGTGGAAAAAGCACTCGTGGCTGTGCAAGAGTTCCCACCGCCTCACACACCCCCTCGTTTTTAGGAAATGTCATCTTCGGAATCGATAAAAGTGACATTAGGAGAAACCATAATGCTCCCTACTTATCAGCTCGAATAGCAGGGCGAGGACCTAGGGCAGCCGCTTCTAGAAACCTGCCCGCTAGTGGGAATCACACAGCACAGCTCAGTCACGGGCATCACGGCTTACGCCGGAGGCTTACGCAAGGTCTTCTTGAGCTTGAGTTGAGGATTTGGAACACCTTTCCACGATCCTTAAGACATTGGATGAGGATCCTTTACGTCCAGTCCTTGGGTCGTGCCACTCTTTCAAGGTCTTTCCAAATCTCCCGACCAAATCTCCCGCGGGAAAGGGGTAAACGATATTCTTCAGTGATAGAATTTTCCCGCACAGTCAACTATAGAGAAATATAGCGCGCGACGAAATGGGAAAAACCAAAAAGCAGAAAACGTTCACCAAACCAGATACGACCCCCCTCTCCGAGTCCCTCCCCCCCGCTCCCTCCCTCGATTTAGCAAGCCGTCCGCTGACTGTACTGCGTGCTCCGGTTGCACGTGTGAGTAACCACAAAGCGGAGAACTGTGATCTTCATCGAGATGTTCACGATTCATTCCTATATTTGTAGTTTGACTCCTTTTGTGGCATTTAATTCCCGTAATTACTGGATGTTAATCATATTATATATATTACTTTAACTCTTCCGGTAATTACCGAGTTAATCTTGATCGGTCACTCGTAGTTTGGCACCACGGAACCATTAGTGGCGCACAGTGCAGTATAGCTTCCTGTAGAAAAAAATATGTGTAATAGCTCAGGTAGGTCTGAGTGTTCGGCCGCGGATGTTGGGCGTGTAACGGGCGGGGGCAAGATGGGGGGCTTAAGTCGCGCGCCACTAAGCTCAATGCTCCAGAATTGTATGTCGATTGCCCCCGTTTTACACGTTTCGTCGATGGCCGGTGGCGTCAAACCCATCAGCCTTCGTGAGACGTTACCCAACATCCGGCAGCGAACAAGACAGTAACGATGTTACAAGCCTTTCTCGCCATGTTTCAGCACAGAGCAAAAAGTCATGCTTAGGAAGGAGTCGATCTCACGACCGCCGGGCGACCCTGTTCTCCAATGCGGTACGGGAAAGAAAAGTCCCATAACTCCGTTCAGAGAAACGTGTTGCAGATGTTGAGAGCAGATACGATGCTAGCGTTCAGAAACGGTGACGTGAGTCCCATCGCAAATAACGTTCCGAGCTAATACTCGAACGGACGCCAAAGGAGGGCGCTAGATTGGCCTGGAGGGAGGCATTTGCGCTTTTGCTAGTGCATGTTAGTTCATTTGATGTTCCTACGCCCTCCTTAGATATCGTAGCTTTGTCGACAAGGGTGGAGGATGTACTAATTTCGCAGCTCAAAAATACGAGAGGATGGCGCCACCCGCTTGTGAAGAGGATGCCGCCCCGCCCACCTGGCCGCTAACTGCTTTGGCTTAGCCTTCAAAGGCTGAGCCCGCTTTCAAGAATAACGAAGTATAGAGGGCCGCATACAATACGTGATCCAGTATGAGAAAAAAGGCCGAAAAAAAACATCGGAATAATTGCCCTAGTAATAGAACCCATGCTGGCGCAGGTGGGCGGGGCGGCGACTGCTAATGGGCAAAGCGGCCGCGACTGTTAAGTGGCAAAGCGGCGCCTCTTCTCCGCCTTTTTGAGATGCAAACCTGGGTATATGCTGCGTCCCTCATAAGGCAGGCTATGGTATCGCAAAGAGAGCCGCAGGAACATCAAAGTGAACGTGGGCGGTGCCTCTAAATAAGGTTGACGAGTGTCCTTCTCGAGGATCATGCGGAATGATTATGCAAGTGAGCCACATTTGTCAGAGGAATCTACGGGCCCGGCCTGTCCAAAGCCTCGCTATGTAATACTCGGTACCCCCACCAAACCTAACTCGCGCTAAAGACACAATGGAAGACGTTTGACCCACCTTGATCATAGCAGGAACGAAATTGACATTCGATTCTGGCAGTCGCACGAAAGCTGTTCGCCATTCGTACAACGTGACACATTCTGATGAATATCTGAAAAAAATAGAAAGTTATTTTCCATTAAGTGAGCTATAAGTTAGAAAGAAACGCACGTGAAAACGTCGATTCCATGACATGACGGTCTATGGTGACCGTTGGTGCACTCGACAAATGTGGCCTCAAAGCTGTGTTCTGAATCTTGCTGAACTTCAACATAACTTCCATTGCCCACTGAAATGTCAGAATTTTTCAAATGTTCATTAGGTTCCCGCAGAAAAACTCTGAATTTGATGGAAGTGAATTCAGGAACTTACTGTGGCCATATTGCGGTCGATGTCGTTTCATTATTGTCACTGGACAGACATGTTCGGCCTCGGGAACGGGAATATCTAACGATTTTTTCTGCAAAATCAATTTTGATCTCAAGATCGCTCATCCAAACTGGGTTCTCTGGACGAACCTGCATTACTGGGAGGAATTCTTCGTCGCTATCTTGAACTTCACTGGATTCTGATTCCATCGGCAATCCTGCAATAAAATTTGTTAAAAACGTTCAAATAGTGCGTATTACTGCGATCAATTCTCCTGCTCTGTCCTATCACTAGTGAGTCGTCTTGCTTTCATCTGATTCAATCTTCCGGAATCGGGCCAGTTTCTTACCGACTTTTTCTCCGAACGTCAGATTGGGGCCGGTTCCCGTTTCCTGGCTCGGTTCGTTCCATGGAGATCAGGGAACACCACCGTCGTGGAAAGTTTTTGTAAAATACTACCCCGAATTTTGCTTCTCTGATACGATCCTTCAGCGTCCTACCCATGACCATCTTCCCGACCTTTCCCAAAATTTTGGACCGAGCGCGGGAGGCTGGAAGCAACTATCGAATTAAACGTCGCTAACTTCGAGGAGGGGAATTTCCAGAAAAAAATTCCTCACGGCAGAGTACGACCCCTCCTTCAACGGACTACGAGCCCCGCTGTGTTTGGCAGGATGGGGAAACCTGCTGGAGATAAAAATCCGGATTTTGTAAATTGTCCAAGTTAGTGCGTCTCATTATCGCACAAATGCCACGTGGACGAGGAAAAGACTTTTTTGGGTCTGAGTTTTTTTTCTGCAATTTTTCACAAGATCTCACTCAATATGCCAAAGAAAATGAAGGGTAATCATCCTTCTACCATTAGCACAGTGAACCCATTGGCAATTCTAGCGCATTGCAGGGACGGATGGAGGTGTTACTGGCGCTGGCT